GTAATCTTCGAGAACGCTTTCACAATAAAATGAGACAAAAATAAATATAACAAATTACAACATATATCCTTCAAGCGACTCGCATTCGTGAAAAGTAGCGAATAATTCAATTTAATGTAGTTTATGATTATTCTCTTAACGAACATCATACATCAGTTTGTAGATGTGATGACAATAAACAAGCAACATCATACTTATCTGAAATTACTGTAGCCACTAATTCGTTTCGTTACGCGTAAAGAGTCATTATACAAGAATCTTACGAGGAGAATCGTAAGTAAAAGATCGTGATACCTACGAGATGCAAGATGACTCATCAAGATCAGTCGTTAATTGACGATACACTTAAAATAAAAATACAACATTTACATCCGCTGCGAAAATTAAAACCAAAAGGATGGATCTAATTTTTATGAAGAATCGTATTTTGCTCGAGAGCTTAATGGCTGGTAATAAAACTACCCTAAAAAAGGTACGGACATAAGAGTAGATTGCGATGCAAGTACTTAATCAATATAAAAAACGAAAGGAGGTTGGCATAAATTTTCTCCTGGAAAGGAGCAACGGGTAAAAGTAAAAGGTTACGTTGGACGAGCGCATATCTAGAGATAGAGATGCGTTCACGTGCATGCGATTTCAGACAAGGACAAAGCCTGAAACGGTGCCGAGGATGATGGAAAGCGAACGCACACGTCTCGCTCGGTAATACATAAGTAGTCTGTACGTGCGTATTTCGTCCACGAAACACCTCGCACGAGTTTCACCGGTGAAATGCGAACCGACTGCTAAGACTATCCGGCTTACTAGGTTCCACTAATAAACACTTGCGTGTATATTTACCGCGACGCGGCCGTTTTCTTCGACCAGATGTGTGTCGAAGGGTTCGCCCGCGACAGGATGTCTACTTTTCCTGTTCTGTTGCTGTTACACATTCGCTTCCCGCAACGGAACTTTCGTTCTTAGCTTCTAGATTACCGACACGCAGAGCTCGTGCAAACGGAAAAGAAAATAAACTGTCGGCTTTGCAGCCTTGGATCGATGTCAAAACCGGTCAGTAACCAGTACCCAGTAGCCGATAGTCCATGTTCGATAAAGCTAGCGATACGGGTGGTTGTCATAAAAATACGTTTAACTGCTTCTAGAGTTTGAATTTAATCCTTTAATCGCATACGCACTGAGTACTTTATTTTTAATAACCAACTCAGCATTACCCCTTTACATTCAACTTTTTCGACAACTCAACGACATAAGAACTTATAGTGGTCCGTTAGTTACCTCTCAAATAATCATACACGATGGGTTATAACTAAGGCGTGAATGAAGCATTGAAGCAATTGTAAAATAATGAAGTTATTAAATAACGCGGATGCATTGATTTAAGCTGTAGAAATAAACTGTCGCCATTGCGAGTTCTCTTGGACGAGAACGATCGTTCGATGCTGAAGTTAAACATAGCTTCAATTGCGAACCAGTGAACAGTTTTCAATGCCAGGTAACACGTTTCCCTCCAGGAACAATGGATTCGCCGATATAACTGTACTTGTGCCCCCTCGTTTAAGCTACTTAGGTTCGAGCCCGCTAAATTAGTATCATTGTGCGATCATTTCACTGTTCTCGGGTAAGAATTCAAGGATAAGTCTAAGGCCAGTGAACAAAAGCGTGGACGGAGCATTAAGGCAGAAACATTCTGGACACATGGTCACGTACTTCGATTTGATTTGGCACCGAGCAACGAGGCAGAAAGGACTGTAAAATATCCAAAGCCTTTCTACGCACGTTCAATCTGTGCAAAAAAAGATCATCAAGCTATTATATAGGTATACAAAACGGTGCAGAAACTTTTACGGTTCGCAAAAGCGGTACGACGACGCGAGGACGATGAAGAAAAAATCAGCCAGCATTTCGAAACGCTTCGCTGACCAAGAAACCGGACGAGAAGTACCGACAAAACCAGAAATTACTTATTGCGTACTCGAGTCAACAGCGGGGCTGCACTAACAGGGAAGAAGCTTCGATACCAGCTAAAAGAATGCATTTAAATTTACAACGTGTATCAGTTCATTTATAAGACTATCTGTGCAATAAATTGAATATAAATACCTAACGTACGAAAGTCTACGACCTATCTCTATTCTAATTTACTAAATTATAATAAATATTTCATTTTACAGGCTTCGGTCTACTAATTGGATTACAGTCTAAGAATTGGCTTTGTCAAATTTTCGTGATTCGATGTAGCCAAGGTAATTACCTCAAAAGGTTCGATTCCTATAGCACAAGGGAAAAGCCTCGTCGTAAATCAATCGAACATTTTCAGGTAAAAACCTTGACTACCTCAAGTCGCGAAAAATGTATGTAACCAGCTTTCCGTCTGTTAGAAATATCTATCAGATACAGGAACGAACGTTACACGTTTGCTGAGTCTAGTATCAAGACATTAGCTTTAAAACAGGCGTCCAGACAAGCTTAAAGAAAGATCGTGAATAGAGTTGCGAATCGAGCGTATCTCGAGAGGCTCTTTCGTTCAAAGTTGCAAATGGTTTCCAGCTTTGCACAAGTAGAATGTGGGCGGGCATTGTTATGTGGCGCGACGGTGAGCCGTTGTCCGAGTTTGAATGCGACATCAAACTAGCGATAACTCGGCATTAAACACGGGAGAAACTTGCCTTTGCGGACGTGGTGCCCTGAACGACCCTGTCGCGGTTCATGCGATTCACATTTTATTCACGCGCCGCTCTATCGGAACAGTGCACGAGTAAAGTAAGCTTAAGTTGATTTTAGAATATATTACCCATATATTAGTATATCATTTTTTTTATGGAAATGTTCCGCTCTTAAACCTGTTGAGAATAAATTGCCTATTCACGTTGGATTTCCACAAGTACGAAACGAGCTCTTTGCCCACAGTATTTCATGACGAACGATACTGTGTTTCAATCTTGATCACGAAAGCGAACAAATTGCTCATTTAATAAGATACTTTTTGTTCCACAGTTGAAAAGTTGATTTCACCCAACAGATATAATTCCCGTGATTGTTATAGATCCTAATAAAATTTCTTTTGTCGATTGTGATTCGAAGATAATTCGTACATTCCGAATAACTGCTGAAATTCATTAATGCATTTATTGTATTAAAATAAAGTTTCCAATCAGGAATGCTGAGAAACCACCTAAAACGTTTCTGCTATTTCACACAAAATGAAGCATCCGCTTAAGAATTTAAATGACACAGAATTCATTGCGGATTCTAATAACGGAAACATCTAACGTGCACCCAGAAATGCAGATTACGTAAAATATTCGTTAAAAAAAATTGAGTTCTTAGCTAGCTCATCTGTTGGATAATGAGGATAAACAAAGGTCCATAATCGCGTAACACGCTTTCTAATACCGGACATATAAGAGCATCTATCACATAAAAATTAGAACACGTTTCACTAACGCTTTTAAGCTCTTCCTATAAACTGAGTTACCTTATCCTCTATTCTATTTTTATTTAAGAATAATAGAACCATTCGCCACAACGCACGACTTCAATAATTACATTTTTAATCATTCTATTATCTTATTCTGATCGTCGATCGGAATTCTTTTGATAACGTAAGACTTTGATTAACGTTGAAAAATTCTGCGCATCGGGTTCCACGAAAGCAGATCGATCGGATCGATACCGCGAAAGTAAACTCGTTAAAGAAAAACTCGCACGCCTGCATCGCGGCTCGATGTAGAAGATACGATCACGAGGAATCAACATAAATTAGAAAATCTGTTGTTCGCGTAATTTATGCGAGACGTACGCCGTAGTTTCTGAAAAGGACAATGCGCTATTAAGAGCGCGTCTTCGTAACGAGATGAGCATTACTAATTGCGTTCGCTCTTCTTCTTCTGGGTAAATCTAATCGACGCTTTTCAAGACATGGCAGTAACTTCATATGAAAATAGAAGGAATATACTGAATTCTATAGACAATAAAAATTAAGCAGACATGATATCTTAAGATTTTGTTTCTACAGATATTTCATGAGTAATCAATTATAATAAAATTAATCAATTATATACAAGCACTGGTATTTATAATTAAAATTTGTATAACATTTCCGTTTTATTTTCTATGCATGCTGTAAAACTGCCCATTTCGTAACACGTTTATCTAAAATACTGAAAATATGAAAGCAAGGCGTGAAGTATAAAGCATTTATGTTATACATAGGTATTAAATTGCTCCGTGCGCGTTATGTCATTACATTTCACTTCCGGTCTTTAAATAGCAACTTCCTGACTGTATTATTCACACGTGAATTAATTACCAGATACGCATACTGGATAAGTGTGGTAAAGGCAATCATCTATTCATAAATGAATAGTTTACACAGTACATATACATAGTATGCGCATATCTTATGAATTCTCTAACGAAAAACTGATCGACAATAAATCGAAAATTCATTCATTGATTATAAAAAATATTCCATAAAATTAGAATAATAATTGTTTACTTCACCTTCGGGCAAATGCTAATTCATCCTCAGGCACTCAACTTTAATAAAAAGTTCGTTGCAGACAATATAATTGCTGCAAAGAAATGTATGCTCACACTGTATGAGTTCAGGTATTAAAGTTTTTGTATCCCAGCCGACGGAAATCACTTGTGCAAGGAATAGAAAAGACAATAAACAGGAAGGATTCACTCTCAAATTCCTTGAAACAAAAGAATTCCTTGCACTACAATGCGCCTGATCTTACGTCCATAATTTAGATAAACTACTAAGCATCCTTTCCATTAACAAGCACTCTCAATAAAAATGTGTCTCAGTAAAAATCGAATTCTTTATTTAATCGATTAAATTTAGAAGTTTATTTAGTTTTCATTTCCCCTTGTTCCTTTGGAATAGATAAATACGTCCGGTAATTAATAGTCTCAATATATTGTTGGCTCATCGTCTTTACGACAAATTGGTTTTCGTATTAATGTGTCCAAATTCAATACACCTCCAAAGAACTGCTCTGCCGAATCTTGTCCAATTCTCTGATTACGCACGTCCGAATAATCGTTTTCCGAAATGCTGCTAATTTCGCTCCTGGGATTAGATAAAAATTGATTAAAATTCGTTATCGTTAATCGAACTATTAACAAACTTATTAACTACTTCCACAGCCACTTTTATTCGTGTATACTTTCAATTAAAAAAGAACTGAGTTTATGCATCCTGAATTTAATTATAATATTATTCAATTATAACTAATTCATTTGACTTCTATGTGCGGTGTGCAAACTGTTAAACAGATAGATATTATAACTAGAGTTAAGAACCATTTCATGAACGAAATGTTATGAACGAGCGTAATGAATAATGAAATATCTCTTGAACTATTGCCAATTTTAATTTCTCGGATGGGAAATTTCTAGTTAAATGAATAATAGGAGAAACGTCGAGTTATACTCTCTTTGAATTTCAATAGAACGGAAAGTAGAAATGCTCCGACTTCTGCTGCGCTCTTTATTATTTATGATTTCATCTCATAAATCTTAGAATCAATTTCGTACAAGCCGGGTCAACAGATGTAGAACAAATTTTTCAGATAAGCACACTATTTCATTCTAAAATATTAAAATACAGTTTTCCTATGCTTTGTAACAAAGTCAGTGAATGACGAATTATTTCTTATTGAGTCACTCAGTATACCTGCATGTCTAATTATGTTTATCATTCTCATTAATCGTATTAAACATGCTAAACTGCTGGAACAATTATCTATCGTCTCGGGCGTCTGTAATCCAAACAGGAAATCTGAAAAAGGATCTTCCAACGCAAATCGGCTGAAACGTCGGATTTGCCAACGAATTAATTAGATACGGCCACATATCGCGCAACAGGAATCGTCAGTCTTCCCGTAACGCGATAGCGTGGGCATTTCCATAAGAGAGATTAGTTGCAATTGAATGAATCCACGTGGAGGAAAGACGTTTCGCGACGTTAGTTTTATGACGGTGACGCGTTGCAAGCGTCCAGGAAAGACCCGTAGGATGAGCACTTTTACTTTCCGCGAGTGTTAACACGTTTCAAACGTATAGGCCAATCACTGATAAACAAAGTTTAAAGCACGCCTTTTCGTGTTCTACAATATTAATAATATTACAAAAGCATTCAAACAATCCACTCGAAGATTGTAAGTAGATTTTATGCATTTGTGGAAAATTTAGGCACGCAGAAACCAGAAACTAAATCTGCAGTCGAATAAATAATTGAATTGCACATGAGCATAATACTTGTTGTAATGTGCTTACTCCTTTAGAATAAAACGAGAATCAAATAGTATTACAAATTCTAATAATTCAACTATGGTCCTGTGTAACGAAACGAATTTAACATACAATAACAAAGGACAATACATTCAAGGGGTATTGTAGGCCAGCACAGTGGGCTTTGGTTGAATCGCTATATTTGTATGTAGCGCGTTCCATATGGTTTTCGAGACAGGGTGGTTGAACGCCCACGAGGCAACGTGGGATCCTGAAAAATGTTTGATGCACGCGCACGCCCACTCGCTTAATCATCGACGCATCCTCCGCTCACCTACACGACCTTATAAGACATATTAAGAGAATCGAAATAGAGAATAGGCGCTGGTACTGGAAGAGGAACGTCATAAAAAAGCGAATACAGACTTGGTAGAGTGGCATATGGCTCGAATCCCCTGATTCATACAATTACGTGCTGGAATACATAATCAACACTGATGTAACCTAGTGATCAATCGAAACTACCAACATTTCGTAACGATCAAATCAATCATATTGAAAGTATGGAACATTGATCGTAGTTACGTCGTTAGCAGACAGAACGGTCCATGTGTGTGAATCATGCACGATAAATTGAAGATCAGAATTAAATTACTCAGCAGAACGTAACAAACTTGTAATCTTAAAAAACGAATTAACGAGAGACGTCACACGTTGACACGTTTTTAACTAACTTGGAACTTGTACAAACTTGACATAATATACATATAACATTCCAAGCTAACGATCGATCGTAAATCAAACACACGTGCGCGTTTCAAAGCACGCGAGTAAAGTTCGTAAGATACCTAAGTACTATCTACAGTTGTGTGATAACATGGCTAGAAAATTCCGGAACGGAGAATCACGCAAGTCAAGTGTTAGATTTGTAACGTCTTACTAACTCGTTTTTCTTTCAATTAAAAAATAATATATTACAATCGTTATAAGTCAGAAATTAATGAAATTATAGAAGAAGAATTATCTATCAGTATTTATGCATTTTCATCAACGCTAAAGCAAATAAATTGCACGTTTTCTGGATCAAGATATTTTTTAAGTATAACAAGAATAATTCAGTTGTTTAATTATAATTTTCATGCTTAATCAAATTAAGTTATCTTGTTAATCTAACTGTTCCCTAAAGCGAATCCTGCAATTCGGCGGAATTTGACTCGGTCGCAATTAACGAGATTCTTAACAAGTTTAAGTTAAACCTGGTATCACGAAACAGCGGTTACGATTCGTCCTTCCGTAATCGAAATTTGACAAAGCTTATCAGCACGCCACTAGCTCGGTTCTCTGCAATCCGTACCACACGATCGACCGACCGAACACCGGATCCATATTCCGTGCCAGGATGCACCTGGCTACCTGACAAATCGCCAAAGTTATTACGCGGTGAAACACGATTTACCCTCTCATTAGAATCGAAGAATCTGTAACAAGAAACGTAGAGAAGCGACCTCGGTCATGTAACCGCAAGCGAGTTCTTAAAAAACGAGAGAAATTTCTCCGGTTGCTCGAATTTCGTTTGCATAACGTCCGGTTCAGGGAAAGTGCGTTTTTTGTAACGAAGAATGTCACCGTACAATCGTCTTTTACTCGCCTAAGATATTTTATTCGTTCAGCTATCCAAAATGTTAAAGCAAAAAATCTATATTCACATCTTGCCAGGTAAAGAACGAGACAGGACGCTGTTAATATATTCAAAATTATTTTCTCTACGTGTAAAACTACTTTAACATACGTATTTCGATAGACAGATTAGAACCGTACAAAAAGAATATAAAATGATATATTTCTATGTGCGTTAGCCGACGCACTGGACTTTCTTAAATGAGGTGATCGATAGATACAAATGTACGTGGCGTACACATGCATACATGAAAGGAATGAGTCACGATCGGACGTAACCACGGCTTGGAACCCAGCCTGTAATCAAATAGGATCCCCATACGACCCAGTGAACAACTCGCGCGAGTCTGGCACCTCGCATTACCAGCAAAACTCAGTACAATCCGATGTCTAAATATATTAAGTTAGATTACTCTAACACTTGTCGCTTTGACGTAATAGCGACATCTTGAAATATTTCACTGTGCGATATACATAAATTGGTACTAACTATAAGAGAATCCTTAACATAAATTAAGCAAGAACTGGAATCCTTCCTATTTACTGATGTTAAGCAAAAATGGAGTATTGCGAACGGAACTCAATATACATTTTCTTACCTTGGGAAAGAATATTCTGCGTAATTGCAGATTTGCAGCTAACTAGCTCTCAGACAGCGTGTATCGAGCTTCTGACGCTCCCCATGACTCCTTCCTTATTGCTGTCGGAAGCACGTTAATTACAGTTTTGCAATTTTTGTTGCACTACTGCGCGGCTGATTCGATTGGTGAGATTGTAAATCACGGAACTGAACGAGAAACGGTAGAGCATATGAAAACCGATTGGTTCGACTTCTCGCTACGATGTAACGGTGTCAAAATGGATGCAACTTTTCCTTCGATAAATCGTCCCGACAAATCATTTTCGCCTCGAGAATAGGGACTTCCTATCCATTGCATTTGTTTTCGTTTCATTAATAACGAGCAGTAACAAGCTCGTCTATCCACTCCCTGATAAATCGACAGAACAAAGTAATAAAGATGAAAAATTAGTTCGATCTTGGGAAAAATAAAATCATGCTCAGTATAATACTGAAGTACTAAGGGAAAAAAAGCAATGGCTTATTAATGTTTGTGTCAACAAGATTTACATTAACGAATCCGTTTTTACTCAAGGAAGTTATTATCAAGAAAAAAAGTATTAGAAATGAATGATTATGCAAGCAAATGAGTTAAACTCTCGAACTTTCTACGCTCTATGACTATGCATCTTGAAGCTCGTGAAACTTAAATGCGTTTAATAGACGTAAGGCGCTAGAAAGGGAACAGAATTTAAGGTAATGCTATGTACTTCGCATTTATTCGAACAATTCATGTTTAATAGGAATGTAAGTATACCACCGTTATAACGATCAGATTGGTCCCTGCAGTTTGGTGACATTATGTTAATAAGACCTATGAAAGCAGAACTGGAACTAAGAATGAATTAAGTCCCGAATAGGGTCGATCCAACTCGCGGAACTCTGCGCAGTAATTTCGACGAAATTGGGAATGTATCCAAGTATAAGTAGAATAATGGTTCCTTTATGAATTGGAGAAACCAATTGATATGAAACAATGTGAATTGTTACTGAAACTGGAAGCCAGATTCGAGTCATTAAAAGATATCAGTAAGAAAAGATCGCAAACAGTTACAAAAATCAAATTATAATTCTCTCTAGTTCTACAAAAAGACGAATGAATAAAAGTGAAAATATCAGTGTTGCGCGAAGTCTCAAAAACCACCCATAAAACTTTTTACCCCAGAACAACCACTTTCTAATCGAGACAGCATCAACGCCGCAAACTTCGACCTCGAGCGAAGATAATTCGCGTCACAGACGAACAGTCGTCTCACAGATTCACTCGTCTGTGTCGCCTGGCTTGGCTAATAAGGGTAAAGGCGAACGGCTCGACCGGTCGAAACTGTTTCCGGCGCGGCGTTGTATCGAGAATATCGAGCGACATTCGACGAATTCAAACCGACCACAATAACGATACCGTTACCGATTTTTTAGCATGGTTAGCACGCGAGTAGGTTTACCGAACGGAGCCGCAATCTTCGACTCGTGCGTAGTTGTACATTCGATATCTCCCCGTGCTCAGAAAGCTGCGGCTTTCGAAGTGTGCTGCGAAACGCGCGCACGCGAAAACCGGAGCAAAACAAGAAAATACGCGGTACGCGTGCAACGCTTCACCGCAAGTATTAGGTCGGGTAACGACTAACAAACTCGTTCCGCTCTTAACCCTTTAACTACTATACATAAATATCTTTGGCTACGAACCAAAGCTAATCACATTTTTAATTTTATATTTTCATATTAATATATCCATAAAATGATTTATGTATCTACAATGCGCTTTTGATATGCAGGGGACATGAAGGCTTTTGAATATTGACAAAGCGAGATAAGATAGCTTCGACGCGATTATCCGGGACGTATTCAATAAGTAATTGTTTCAAGTAAGCCGGAAAATTTTCTATGCTCTGCATAAATTCAATATTTATAAAACTTGAAACACTAATTCACTCTTAAGAGGAAAAGATTTTAATATTATGACATCGATTTGTATTAGGAAAACGATCAAATACTTCTTTAATGTATTGTATACTTGTTGATTAGAGCGCATGGCTTCTACTTTTATAGATTATAGACAAATAATAATATAATTCTCGTGTCTTTTACAACTAAAGATTAAGTAAGTAACCACTTATGAATAATTATTTGAATCGTACTTAATTTTCGAGTTTATAAAACGCTTACCCGATCGTACTCGATCCACTGAATCCGCTTTCACCGTTTACGCTACCCTGAAGATAAAGCTCGTGACGATCATCGTTCTGAGCATAAACCAAAGGAACGCTACGAGGCTCTTGATTTCTAAGCCTTCCCGCTTGCAATCTAAAGTGTAGAATTACTGTGGTTTTTCTGAATGAAACCCTGACACTTTCAACCCGAGCTCAATGGCTTGAAAAAAATTCTGCAACTGCACTCGCTTCTCATGAATTGCAAAAACGTTTTGTTGAGTTTTTAAAAAACGTATGTGCAACACACGAATGTATTTCTCAATAATGCGAAAATAAAAGTTCAAAGTGATTATTATCGTAACTAACCCAAACTGCGAAGATAAAGCTTCCCTGAATTCCAAGATATTCCCAGCTGGGAGATCGCTGTTCAAGACGTTCACAAAAATTCCATTGGTCATAGCTTCGACGGTATTCATGGAATTTGGAATCGTTTGAACATATTCGATTTGTGATACCGTAGTGGTCGACTGGTATTCGCCTGTGAGGAAACCCGACTAAATTACGTGACGCACGAATCGATGAATATTACATTATCGAATCTCTGAGCCGCGAGCAAGAAAACGAACTACCGAGCTAAATTCATTTGTATTCTTATTTGTATTTTACAATTTTTCAAAAGAGACAAGTTAGTAATTCATAAAATAAATATTTGTTACGAAAAGGAATTCAGAAATTCGTTTTCGTCGAAAACAATTGTTTTAGTGCAAAAAAGAACTACTGTAATTCATATAGCCTGACTGACGTTAAGTAAAAATATCTCAAAAAAGGAATAAATAAGCCCGCATAAAAAAACGATCCATCCCTGCCCACCCCTATCAGTCATAGTAATTAATGATTAGATGTACTTGTACTATTCATGTTACTCGAAGACGAAGCTTCTTCAGAATCGAGCCCTGTAAAATAGCAGGATGGGTCACTACGACTATCGTACCACCTCGTTTGTGCCACATGGTTCCCTGACAACTCGAGCGTATCCCTGTTTCCCGGTATAATCTTTTCATTGATCGAGGACACTAACAAATCATATACTCATCAACAATTTTATACAAATAAATGTGTAGATAGAAATTATTAAAAAATCCAATCAGTTATAATTAAATAATAATTATTTCAAGATGTGCCTAAATAGAAGACGTAAGAAAAGAACAAACTTTGTTATATGTGAAATTAAGTTAATGTTTACCGCTGGGAATTTCTCTCATTACGCGATTCAATATGATTTCCGTGATTTCGTTTATTTCTAAGGGGTCATCGATCATCACCCTTTCGGATCCGAGCTTTTCTCCGCTCGTCACTCTCATCAAACGTTTCAGGTAATAACCAACATTCGGTAGTTTCGTTCTGATCTGTTCGTTATGATCGCTAAACAAGGTTTCGTTCAAAAACAAGACGAAATGTCGCGACATGTATGATATTTACAATTGAATAAACATTCTATCGGAATTTCGACAAGACTGTAATACAAATTTATTGTAAACCTTTTTACATTATTATTCTTGTCTGCTTCAAATACTACAATAAAGTGCAAAATACGTATAAAATATATAATGAATGAATAAATTTCAGAGAATAACGAATTCGAAGAATACTTAATTAGAGAAAAGGTGCTAATAATTCAAACTCGAGAGTCTCACTTTCTTAGTTATACTGGATACAGACATCTTTGTACCCTTAACAGTCCTATCAACGGAACATTGCGAATCTAATTGTTCGGAGTCGATCGTCGCGAATGCATTTTCCGATACGCTTTCCAACGATGATTCATCACCCATAGCGAAAGTTGGAAAAACGATGAAAAAGTTACGCGAAAAATTACGCGTAGGCCTTAGGTTACTCGTTAATTTTCACATCGTACGATTTGATGTTACCCGATTTTAATCGACCGTCGCTTTTTCATCTGACACTGATTTCATCGTTTTGTTTTTCATTCGCATAGCACTGTACTACGATATGGTTAACTAAATAATATTCATAACACGGATCAGACAGAATTGATTATCGAATCATTAAAAATGTGTATAAATCAAATAATATGGGTATAGCTTCGATAACATGATAGATGACTTTTAATGATCATTTTTATCTAATGTTTCCGATAGTTTTAAACCATTATTCATATTAAAGGCGTTAACGTGTTTACATTATCAACGTGACTAGTGTCTATCTTAAGCGTATTTATTATGCGAGACGTTACACATAAAAACAATAAAGAGGATGTCCAAAGGTTAAGAAAAGATTGATAATCTGGAGTAAGTCTGTATACCTTTACAAAGATATAGCGACACAGGAAATGATTATACCGGATTTATATCAACATGCGATTAATGTGGAAAATAATAAATGATGATTCACTTACCTGATAAGTGTATGGTGTACAAGGGACGTAAAATTCTCTGCTCATAATAATCGGTGCTCGAAGCGGTTGTAAAATCCAGCTGACGAATCTTGGACAAGTGTCAAAATGCCGGTGGCGCCATCTTGAACTCGCCTGGAGTCGAGGTCGTCAAGCTGTCACGAGGAAGAATTTCCGATTTCTCCCAAGTATGATTGCCATCCTTGGTTTAACCGCATCAAGGATTGGACCACGTCGTCTTGATAAAACTCGCACTCCAAAATGTACTCCAAAATGTTACGAGGAACTGAGACGCGTTCGTTGAAAAATCACAGTACGAGTCACCAACACATAACACACCTTATACGCTGCTGTCGGAAAGAGCGATCGAATGTAATAATCACAATGCTCTTGATTGGACGGTATCGTTACGAACGGTTTTAAGGTCAAACGGTAAATGCCCGTACACTGTTCGGAACTTTTCGCGATGTATGACGGAACACGACGATATTCAATGGCATTGTACCACCTTACTACGCCATTTTCGTGTACAGTTCTCAATATGACTACGATCACAGGCAAACCAACCGTTCGCGTCCACTGGCGAGTGCAGACTGCCGACTGCCGCCAAACGTGAACTGAGCACCAGGTGAATAATCATGGCAGCTCGTCGCTCGCTACAGTAACGCCACCGAACAAACACCAAGATTCGCAACTTGAGTTCTATTGATAACATAGGCGATGATGAATTTGCCTACCGAGGAAATCTTTTCTCGGTGTTGGAACTGAACGTGTCAGATCCCTGCAAGAAAAAGCTGGGGGCAGCACTCATATGGGGAACACTCGGCCGTAAGCACTCGCATTTCCTCTCTGTTATCAGTATAAACTGAAGTGAAATTATTATTTTCCTTCGTGCGGATATGTAACTTCCGTGTCACACCGCATCTATTATGTATAAGCCTCACGTCAAGCAACATTGATTTGTTAAAAATAAATCCAATGAAAAAGATTCACGACGACCTTGTACTTGTAAAAGCTCTCGTAATCGGATACTTCATATTTATATTGCACAATTTTAATTTCATAAATACATCTTTAGCAGTCGATTTCTAATTAGATTCGAAACTAACGCACAGATTTGCATGTTTTTTCAGTCGCTTTAACTTCCACGTGAATATCGCAAAAGAACTCGATATGTTTTTTCGGCAATACATAAGAAAAATATGAATCGCAAATGCGAATTCAATTTCAGTGTATAAAAAGTTGAATGTATATTATATAAAAACGTTAGAGGAAATAAGGCTTTTTGAAAACTTTACATTAGAGCGTTATTGGAAGCAAATAAATTATTTACAAGCTGCTGTCCATTTCGTTCTACAGCCAACGCTAACGCAACAGCATCCTCTACCAACTTTCGCACCTGCTGACGAACGCGGTGGATATTTCGAAGACGGATGTTTTTTCTTTTGCGACTCGATTACTAAATTTTTTGGTATTAAAATGTCGTTCCATGGAATTTCGACGTCGTCCGTGACGCATTCCTCCTCGTATACCGGTTGTATGTCCATCGGTTTCTCGAGTATAAGATCGTTCCATGGAATCTCCAGTTGGGAATCGCAACTGGCAGGGTCATCCTGTGTCGACGGTACGGTTTCCGTAATGATCAAGTCCTTCCACGGTAGATTCATACGACCCAACGATTCCTTTTCCTCCGGTTCTTTGTCGGCATCTTTGTCGTTCTCGTCTCCGTTCCGACGTTGCAAAGGAGTCAGCGAAACTTCTTGACGAATCTTCATACCAGCCGATGGCAACGCAATGTCTTTCCACGGCAGCTCAATCTTCGAATCGCACAATATAGAGACATCCGAGAATTCTTTTCGCAGATCCCTCAAATACGGTTCATGCCACATTTCTTCCTCCGGATTGTAGACCAAAGTTTGCCTCTTTCTCTTGCATTGATCTTTCTTTCGTTGTTTGTGCAATTTTTGTTGCACGCATTTGCATCCTGAGATTTTTCTTCTCTCAGTCATCATTACCAAGTATCCACCCGTAATATTCACGTTAAACTTGTTAATTTTGTGACCTTATGTAACCTAATACTAATATTATAATTAGATTCAATTAGATTCGATGCCGTTTGTTTTGTTTTCTCATGTAAAATGCTGTTAATACGTATGTACACATATACACTTGCATATATATAGAATTAGAGTATATAGTACACATATACGTATGTCGTATGGGCACATATTTATGTATTCAATCATGCAATCACGCGCATTGGCCAATCATTTATATATTTCGCCGCGGCATCTATCGAGAAACCACGGTATGTTAAAAATCCGCTAGTTGCCGATAAAAGGAAATCCGTAGAGTCTCTGGCTTAATTTCACAATAAAAGGTATGAAAGGGAACGTAAAAGTAGCATTTCCTCTTGAGATACGTCTACTATAAAATTTATTCGTTAAAATAATCATAGATGCGACCACGAACGGTTTCCTGGAGCACGAAGGTGGACCAGGGAAAATAGCTTACGGATGGTTGCTTGACCACAGTGGTAAGGCTACGTTTAGAAGGCAGCCATCTTGCAATCCCTAATCAAAGATCTTCGGCTAGCGGCTATCGCTGTCTGGTTTTCAGCCGGTTAATATCAACACACAGTTCAACAAATGGCTTTAAAACGAATTAATAAGGTACGTGAATGATTAGAGGTGTTCATATTGTACGAGGACAGTCGGGTGTTGATGTGATATGTGCCGAATGCAGTTGAACGCCCTTAACGATTTTGCAGTGAAGCAATGTGAGCCAGCATTGAAAATCATGTTGGCTTTTCCCCTTTTTTTTCACATTCCCCAATTGTGTCTTGATTTAATTTTGTATACGTTCACGTCGACACGGGTGCGTTTCATGCACGCTGCACAGTGCCACTTTAGTGCCAGTGGACGGTAGCTACGGTGACAGTGAAAATCTGAAAAAAATTTTAAGTGGCTAGCCGATAAATTGCCGGAAGTAACGTAAAACCGTGCGTTACATACGTATATATATATGTACATGTGTATATATATATATCCATGTATATGAGCATGTATGCATGAGGCTATAGATAACTTAGAAATTACGAAAATTTCATTAGTGCACAGCGTAGTCCATTTGTGGATAGAAATAGCATTATGAATTTGCTAAGTGATCACCACCTCCATGTATTCAGCTCAAAACTTCATGTGATCCATAGCATGTGATGGTAGCACACACTTGTGTGATAAAGTGAATCATTTAAGACTGATGTACTTCTACATAATCCATACCAGTGATATTTGACCTGTCATTAGAATATTTCTCAATCAAATCATTACACAAAAGAGATCCACCGAACAGAAGCATTGGCTTTATAAACTCTTGGATTAATCATGCAAAATATAAAGTGCTATGTCACTTTTCCCTTTAACTGTAACTCCATTATTGCATTTGCATGAGAATCTAACAAATATCATAAATACTATAGCTTGTTCTAGTGTCTGATATCTGATGAATGAGTGACTCATTTAGTCATTGAATTTCATTTTTATGTGCATTTTCAACTTTTATATTAATTTTCCTTTGCTTTGTATTCATCATTAATCAACCTTTATGCAATAAATCACTAAAACTATGCTTTCAAAATATATAACATTCATTAGGGCTAATAGAATTATTATACACGTGCGTATAAGAATATTCCAGAAGATTTTGTTTACACATGCCCTGCATGCTCTTCATACCTATAAATATAGATTTCAAAGCTTCAATTCTCATTATGCAACAGAGTATAAAAAGAGGATATTATTGATAAAGTATACTATCTACAACAAGAGCATTAGACTTCTTTAGAAATACATGCAATGTCTATTGATAAAACTGTATCATGTTTGTAAAAGCAGTATGGATCATCGTACAATTACATTGTAATATTTCTCGTACAAATAATATCTTATTTTTTTACCTGTAGGAGCTTCAGGACCTTGGTAGAGATCCACCTGCGCAATGCTCTGCTGGTCCAGTAGGAGATGACTGTAAGTCTTTCAAAAAATATTGTTGCATGTGCTTTAATCATTTACAATGAATTGTAACATCTACAATTAATTGTACAATTGCTTTCAGTGTTCCATTGGCAGGCGACTATTATGGGACCAGTAAGTACACAATAATTATATTCGTATTTAATCAGTTAAATCAATATTTATTAGTTTCAAAATGCATTCTTAGAGATATTATTTTACATGTAAATATAAATTGTGAGTACTACTTTTAAGTATCTTGGCTTGCACTCTGATATTTAAAGATAACTTCTACACATGAACGAAGTACCCTGCATTATTTATAACTGATATCTCCATAGAAGTGTATGATTCATTGCATGTAATGCCTTTAATGTTACTCTAAATCAATGTTGACATAATGTCAGTGACATCTATTTTTCTTTTGAAAATAAAGTTTATACTTGTAATTGAAAGTTCATCGAAATACCGTGAATTTATTATCATATATTTAGGAGTAAATATCATTTTCAGCCTGACAGTCCATACCAAGGAGGAGTATTTTTCCTTACAATTCATTTCCCCACAGATTATCCCTTCAAACCACCTAAGGTATGTATGTTCGCTTCCCGAGCAACGCTTTATCATATAATCACATAGGTAGGAGATTAATTTTTTTTGTGCATATACAGGTTGCTTTTACAACCAGAATCTATCACCCAAATATCAACAGTAACGGAAGTATTTGTTTGGATATTTTAAGATCGCAGTGGTCTCCGGCACTTACCATATCGAAAGGTATGTAAAGATTTATAAAAATGCGATTTGAATGAACTGCTGATGAATGAAATTCTTGTAAAAGAAATGCCGAGGAATGGAGCTTTAAAATATTTTACACCTAGTACATAGGAATGAAATTTTCTGTGTTCCAGTGTTATTATCAATATGCTCCTTGCTGTGTGATCCAAACCCGGACGACCCTCTGGTACCAGAGATAGCAAGGTTATACAAAACCGACAGGGAGAAATACAATGAATTGGCACGTGAATGGACGCGCAAGTATGCCATGTGATGCGTCAATCTCCGTTGACTTCAACATCTAAAAGCCACCAACAAGCAGCCCCAGCCTATTGCCACTTATGCATCAGCACCGATTGAAATTAGCTATGGCTCGTCTACTTTCAAACTTAAGCCGGTACTCTGGCTCGAGGAATGCTCAGACGTTGCCACAACGGCAATTGAGGCAATTTGAAAGGTGGTCACATAACATTATATATATATATAAAAATCAGGATAAACAAAAAACAGAAACATGTCCGCTTTGATTTTCATAAATAAAAAAATGGAAGTAAAATATAGGAGAGTGAAAGTAGGATTTGTATTTGAATTTCATAGTTTAATTTTTAATTATTGTGCTTATATCATATTATATACCTACTTTCTCAGTGAAATGACAAAAAAAGAATACCTTTTGAACTGACAGCACACCGATTGTTAGTTTTAAACGCAAGTGAGCAATGTTTGCCCGTCCTTTGGAACGATGCGGTCACTTTTTTGTAAGACTGGGCTATATATAAATACTACTGAAACTATACCTGTATGTTTTGTTCAATTATTAAAATTCCTTACCTGTCTAACAAATTCTACGAGTAACTCGAAATTTTATGGTTTCGTTCCTGTGTGTGTGTAGTAGTTTAATTATGCATATCGTTAATCGATAAATCGGACTTGAAGTACATACACCTTGAAATGATTCGACGTAAATGTAAAGTAACAGAAAGTTTTGGTGACTTAATCGACCGCGACATAAGTACCTGCCGTTTCATGGGCCCGTACATACGTATACAACTAATGATCAAAGGCATTCACAATTTCTCGTCGACGTAAACTCGAACGTCGTTCGGCTTTATTTCTATGATGGAAAATGTCATCGATGTCACTATTTATCGATAAATGATGAATGACGAATTTTGTTCAGATTCTTATTACATAAAACGCGTTTACGAAAATAGATAAGATGTGTTTCATTGAGCCCTAGAATTTAAAACGTATGGATTTGTAAAATCCTCTGAATTCATTTTATAATAATGCGTCATTATATAACAATAAAGTCATGCGTCGTACCTTGCGAATTAAGAATTCGCCCGTCGCTAAAGTTTTAACTCGATACTCGAATGCGTTTACTACTATTGTTTTGCGTGTAAATTTTTTACTATTATTTACTACTCATCTAAGTTCCCTTTCCATCCACAATATTAATATTTGTATTTAGAAAATTGATCGTTTTGCAACAACTTTCGTACTATGAGAGCGAAATGACAGTGAAATAGAACATAGACTCTCCTTAAAATGCACACGATCGTGGTACGTTTCGAACCGTTACACACCCCCACGCATATTGTGGTTGCAAAGGATTCCCAATGAGATTTTAAACTGATTTCTAACAACTACAATCTACCTAACGCAATTTTTACGAGGTCGAACGGGGCGTTGTTGCGACGCCGACAACGCGTCGTTCGTTGTTAGTTTGTTTAAACTAATAATCTAGAAACGATACGCCGCTCATCGGTGCTAGCAGTGTTTCGGCTTCTAATCCTAGAAAATGAATAAACTCCGAGACATCGTAAAAATGGTCACTTAATTAGGAAGTAAGTAAAACGATTTTGTCTTGCGAACAGTGTAAAGTGCGTCATCGATCAAGTGTTGAATGTAATCGGTGCTTAGAAATGAAAAAGAATGAGAATAACGGCAAGCTCATGGAGCAAGTTATGAAGCCTAGAAAAGACAAATCGATTTAGTATGTAACATGATATATCACTTGTTAATGTCGATTTTGTCTCATACGAACATGTACCGCTGTAATTTAATTACGAGTAAAAAGAAACGCGCGGCGAATACGGTATTTAAACATTTGCCTCGGAAAGTGGATCATCGTTCATCTCTCTATTAGAAGAAAAAGGAACTACTCATATGTAATTAATTATTATTATCACATCTCATGTGTAATTATTATTATACATAATATAATTAATTATTAATAATTATTTTAGCATTAGCCCTTTATATAATAAATTTCACATGATGATAAGGTACCTCCGTCCTAATTACTTGTAACCAAGATCATCAGTTATCAATAATAATCTCGTTGCGTTCTTCATTTGAAATGCTACACTGACTTGAATTCTATTAGAATTGCATTCTGCAATAACTGCTATTTCTTTGCTTACTCCGAGTCTAGAAATTCAACGATATGTGCCTTGACCTAATTTTGAAATGTGAAATCCGCGGTTGAGTCCTGCTTAAACAAGTCCCCTCAATTATTTCGAATAAAATTCTTTCGTCGCGTGAATAAAGAAACATAATAAATATTTGTGTGCCTTTTTTATTAATTTTCAATCCTTCAATGTACATGAGAGGAAACTTTGGAAATACGTATACGTATAAAATCGTTATCTGTGATGTGGTCGATCGAAGCAAAAAGTTTCACAACGGCGGGTCATTAATGTTCAGCACACTTAGAGTAATTGAAGAACGTCCGTGCTATACGTTCAAACCAGCAGATGTTCGTTAGACTTTCACGAAGGATAAGCGCATCTGTCCTGGAATCTATAAACGTATTGAAAAAAGCCATGGAACCAGTGAAAGTGGCAATACTTTCCCCCTTTTGGAGCCCAGGCTGCTCTTGACCGCTGCTGTACCTATTTCACTGCAACGCTGGCAGAAACCTGCCATAGGAACCTGGTCAGTGATGGCGATAAGCAGATCTTTGCTCGATCAACCAGTTTCGAGTCTATAAAGTTAAACATGCTAATTGCAATCTGATTTTCCACGATACTAATCTGAGAAAAATTGAATCTCGAAGAAAGAATCAAACCTATCGTTAAAAAACACATAGATTAGATAACATTGTTCGATTACCATTGAGAAACGATAATTAAGCTCATGGATAGAACAAAGCATGTATCTTGTCAGTTTGAAGTCATCTTTATCTTTTACTGAAAATCATTATTTTGTAAACTGATTCCTTGCAATTAATTGTTCAATAAAGCTACTGATTTGCAATATTGATTTGGTCTGACAATGTGACATTAGTACTTCAATATAATTTAATACGGTGATGAATTCCTTTCTTTCAATTCCCTTAATTAATTATTCTATTTATAATATTATGCTTTATAATTAAGATTTCATCTCGAGAGAAATTGGTTCTTTTGCTTTTTTATGCTTGTACAATACATTATATATGCCATCAATGACCTACTTACATTATTCGAGATACCAAGGAACTTTGTTTCTTTTATTTTTTATTTAATGTAATCAGTGCGTAAATCATACGTAAATTCTATCAAATAATATACGTCGAAGTTTGCAGTAATTGTTATTGGAACTTTCGCACTTGGTACATAGCGTGCCGATGTGCGAGATCCTATTAAGAATACTTCCTCTATCGCGGATCTTTTAATAAAGTGAATAGAAAGTTCGAGTCACGCAAATGTAAGCTGGTACCTGGTCCAGTGATATTCAGTGTCAATGGACTTGAAATCGTTGCTAAATAGTTTCTAGATTTCTTAAAAGTGCACATTCCGTTCCACAATTATATTTCAAATTACATTCTATTAAATATCTAACAATGTTGTCTTCATTGTATTTGCAATTAATTTATATATTAATTAGAAAAAATTCAATCACTTATTTTTAAACTCTGCAATGGAACAGAAGGTTTGTAGCACATGTTTAAAATGTGATTCTACCTAATACCGTGTAGCGATTCGTAAAAAGCGAGACGCGGATACTTCGAAATTGAGATTTATGCACCATTTAATAAAGAAGAGAACGATTGAACTTTGGAGAAGGAGAGTCAATCCGATTTCTACATAAAGAAATAAGTGCTCGAGGCCATCGCTGACGGGTAGTACGAAGTACGAGGACGAGTTTCGATCTATCGAGCGGCGCTTTGGACCGTCTGGTTCCAGTGAGTACGGCTTGTTCAGTGTCAGTGCTGTTCTTGGCACGCTCGGTGGAAGAAACGGTGGTCTCGCTGATGAATAACGCGACCGTCGGGATAATGTGTCGATAGACCGGCGGACGACCGATTACCCCATCTGACCCGGCGCGATCTTTTCGTAACGTCGACTTTTATACATTTTTATTACGAAAAAAAGAGGAAAAGAAAACGTGTTCCGGCGAGTGTTTCGCAACCCGACAACGCTCCGCAGTCCCGTAGACTGGTAAGTATATAATATTTAACAATGTTAGAGTCGCAGCTTGACAAAGAACGGTTTAAATTAATGCAAAGTGGTGGTAAGTCACGTTGGAATTACAATTAGCGTAAAGTAGCAGTGCCGCGTTCACCTCGGATCATCGCTTTGTGTTTACGAACAAACGCGCGCATTCATCCACTGTTCAATCCTTTTAACCGAGAGTTTTCACCGGTAATTGCATTTGCATGGTGTTACACGACCGGACATAAAGTGACAACGTGAACGTGAACGGGCTGTATTTTGTACGTACGTACGTCCTCGTGTTCGTTCGCCGACTTCGCAAACTACTTGACAATACTTGCCGTGAATAAATAACGAATGTGCTCGTCATATTGCCAAACACCATGAGTATTACCGCGTGTTACATTGTCTGTTATCAGTGAATTCTGCGTATAACTATAAGGAAAACTTTAAAATATAATTTATATATATTATATAATAAATAAAACTATAAGGAAAATTTTAAAATCTGTGCATATGCTAATTTTGAGATTATTCTCTTTGGTAAACAAATGAAAACGCGCAAGTTTCATAGATTAGAAGTTATTAATGAAAAATATATTTCTATTTTGCATTAAAATTGTCCCCTCAGACAAAAAGACTCGATACTTATGTATATTTCCATATTTATAAGCAGTTTGCATACGCAGCTGATCCGCGTTTGCGTAATATACATATTAAATGAGAATCGAAAATACGAGTTTATTTTTCAATATCTCCTGGCCGTTATTTCGTAAACCAAGAAAGAGTAAACAGTAAGACATATATTAGAAAATGTATATTCTAAATGAAATTACACGTCAACCGGAAGAGTTTTAAGTGCTGGAAATTTCAACGAAAGAGACTACAGACTACAGTTTTCTAAAAACGGAAACATACGGTTTCTACTTTCTCGTACATTAAACGCGAATGATTGTTCAGAACGCGTGAAAGGAAGTGAACAGATGTCTTATAAACAACTGTCAAACATTTCATTAATTTTGTCAGTGTAATCGAATTCCGTTTTTTTGAAGACGTTTCTATAATAACATCTTCGGACATCAAAATTGGACGTGGTATAACGTTTTGTAATTTTCTTATTACGTAGCTTCCACCTAACGTTTAACGAGTTTCTTCCCGATAACACGAGTTTCTAATTCCAACGCAGTATCTCGTGCGAGAAAGAACCGGCGATTTCTTTTACGACATCTTTTTTTCATCTGCCAGCTTCGAGGAACTAATTTGTCCGTCGTAAAGGATTCGCGTGCGGAAAGAAAATCGCGTGCACAAGATTTTCTTTGAAAACGAATCTCGAAAATGGCATGAAAATTGGCGTTGCGTTGTTAGCCTCTTCGCTCTTATATTATTCAACACGGAAGTCGTAATTTACGAGAACAATAAAGAAGAGAATATAAATACTGAATGCATTAATGAACATGAATAAGATTTGAAAATCGCGCATATATCAATACTGAAATTGGCACAGGAAAGTACATAATAAAGTATATAGAACCTTAACAAGGCTTTGTTTGCGACGATGCTCGATTCAATTCGATCTTTTTACCCTTTCATTTCAATTACGTAATTTGGAAAGGTGGAAGAAAGGTAGAAATGCACACTCTAACATTTTCTATTCGGTATTACATAAAAATAAAGTTCACGTAACGTGCGATATCCAAAATTGCATAAATATACATTCGAATCGCTTTAGTAGCAACAGAAAATCAGCTTCATTCATGATTCTAGGATTATTTTAATAGCATTCGATGATAGAACCATTATACAATCTTTTCTTTTTATTTACAGATTGCGTGGTATTTAAGTAATTTCAATGATGAAATTACTAGCAGGGGTCGAAGAGGTGAGCGACGAAAATGTGAAGCAATCGGACGACAATCAGTCGCAGAACAATAACCATGAAAAGCAACCGAAAACGGATATTGCACAAGAAACGGTCAAGTTAATTACCGGCGAGGTAAATAGAGCTTGTTTTACTCCCATATCCTGTAGAGTTCAACTTAAGAATGGAAATCTATTTTTGATTTAATGTGACGTCTCAATTATGATAATAATGACGTCAACTTAGACTGAATTCTCAGTCTTCAATCATAAAAATTCAGTAACACACTTTTTGTAGACTTTTATATTTTACAATTGTATTTTTTTTGTATATATTCTTTTTTATTTTTGTGTGTATTCTTTATTATACATCCAATCTTTACTTTACCAATTCTTCTCTTATAAAGTATGGAGAAATGAATGAGAAGAAACCGACGCAGTGTGAAGTATAAAAAAACGTGAAATTTATAAACCGCGATAGTTATTTTTACCGGAAGCGAAACGATCATCGCAGCGACAACAGTTGTAGTTTTCTTGCGAAAATTCTATTCCGCGCGTACGCGCGTATTCCAGCCTCAACTTTCACTTCGAACGGTCCGTAATTACTTACTGTTAGATCACATGATACGTAGCATGGTAGCGCGCTATACAGCAATCAGACTCTCTCAATTTGCTCCATTTCTGTTTTGACGTGTTTGAAACTCCAACTTTGCTAAACTAAACGTTCATACACGCATATGACTATGTAGGTTGTTCGCCGTTAGCGATTTTTCTTCATTTGCTATTCGGCGTGTTCCAAAGTTAACGGTGAATGTCTTATAGAAACAACGAACCATCGTTATTGAACAAATTATATGGGGACTTTCGTCTGCTTGTGCACAGTTCAAAACAAAATTACTGTACGGCAGGAATAGCTTTCTAATTGCAACTAAACGTACGACTGTCACGATAATATTAATGAAATATCGTCAATCAATAATTATAGCCAGGAGCTCCAACGCCAGAGTTTCCAACGTTTAATACACGGTGCAATTATCATATCTAATGAAAACGCTTGGTAACGCATGTGATTGCACTCGTGACATTTAGAAGACGCGACTGTCGTGACGCATTTTTGTCAAACATGACTGGTATAAGCAAAGTGAAGAATCGATTTCGCTAGTGAAAGATGCAGGGAAGATTTGTGAAAAGAAAGTCCTCGTATAAACTTGACACACTGAGATGAAAGGCAAGTCCCGTTGCGGCCTACTTTGCTGCTTTCGTATCTCGAGATAGTGACTGGATCATCGTATTCTAAAATCGCGTCTGCGATATAATCGCGGTCAAAGCGTGATCGATAAACTCTCTTGAACTCTTTTCACGAATTTTTATTTCTTAAAGATGTATCTAGTAAAAATTCAATATGTATCAGGCAACATAGTATCAGAGAATTACTCGTTTCCTGTTTATTAACCAAATAAACGCGTATTATGCAAAATGAAGGAAATGAAGAAGCTTCGATAACGATAAAAATTATATAAATATCAATAAATGATATTCGATACATATTACGGAAGCTAAATTTTAAATGCGCATAATTTATGTTATCGTTCGAGCGACAAACGTGATACACATATTTTTGTTATTACTGTGAAGAGAAGTTTGGGAATTGAATTCATTCATGACTTCCCGTACGGTTACGTGACATGGATAAAAATAAAATTCTCAGGTATACCGGCCGTGCTCCAAGAAACTGGAGGACTCTCCTTTTAAAGGTAAAATCACGCCTGAAGATGAGGAGAAAATGAGACGACTTCTTCCTTACGAAGAAGCGGCTGAATATCTTCAACACAATCCTTACATTCTCCACGGATACCGAGGATATCTTACTACAAAATTATGTATAGAAAGGTAAATAAAAAATGCAATACAGTCTGATAAATTACGTATTCGTTAGAGGCAATTTTGTAATGAGATATTAACACGCAAAATTGATTAATTATTACAGTATATTTTGGTGGACAAACGAAACAGTGAATATATGGAGTCACATATTCGGCTGGATGTTATTCTGCGGTCTGACTCTGTACGATCTTTGTCTACTGAATATCCACGCGCCTTTCAGCGACAAGATGATAGTAGCTCTTTTACTGATCTGTTTCCAGGTAATATTAATAAACACTTAAAAACTTAAAGTAAATTACACTATATACTTAAAAACGTAAACACTTAATAACTTAAGGTAAATTACACTAATTAAACACTTAAATACTTCCTTAAAGTAAATTAGAAAAATAAAGGAAATTATCTTTTTCAGGCATGCATGATATTATCATCGATATATCATACGTTTTCCTGCCGAAGCGAGAAAGACTATTGGTGCCTTTTATCGTTCGACTTGTTTGGCATAGCTTTAAGCCTACTGTCAATATACATGTCGGGCGTTTACTACGCTTTTTGGTGCCATAAGGTTTGCAAATTACGTAATTATATTACCCGCTTTCGATGAATTATGCGCAATAATACTTCGAAATTTAAACTACTTCCTTTGATTATCGCATTATAAGCACGCTTTAACGATTGTAATGCGATATAAATGGTAACGATAGATTATTTGTTTTCATGCAGGAGTTACAGAGCTTTTATTTGATAACCGTGTTGGTAATTTTTATATTTGCAATGATTCTGCAAATACCAAAGCTGAACGTGAATGGTAATGTCAAGCTAGTCGTATTCGTCGCCTGGGCGGCTTATGGAGTGCTCCCAACGCTGCATTGGAGCATCGCTATGGGTGGTCTGGAAAACCCGATCGTTAGAATGCTTCTTCCGAGGGTATTAGGAATGTATGTTATTAGCGGAGTGGCGTTCATTATTTATTTAAGCAAAATACCAGAACGATTCTGTCCAGGTAACTACAGATGTATATGTTCAATTAACAATTACTGTCATGTATTTAATTGGTGAAGCAGATCAAATGCATTCTCTTAAAGATTCGACGATTAAGTTCCCCGTATAATGTTTTATCAATTCGATTAAAGGATGGGTAGATTACATTGGGTCTTCTCATCAATGGTGGCATGCGTTAGTAGTGCTGGCCCTTTACTATTGGCACAATACTGGAATGCTTTACGTGGAATACAGAATGAATCACGGATGCCCAAGCAATATAAAGCTGTTATGACAAACGGAGACTGACGACCATTCAGGTATCTCTTGTTTCAATACTTACATCCACATTCAGTGAAATAAGAAACTGTTTCAAGAAATCATATATTGTATTGTATAAATATTTGTTTTCGACGAAATATCGAACTGAGCTTTGAAAAGAAACCGAGATCAATTTCGGTTCCGTTTTACAGTCATTAACTTGTTATTTCAATATGTTTGAGAAATCGAATGATGTTACATGATATTACGTACGTATGTAAACGTTCCAGGCCTTGGCTTTAATATGGAATGTGCTTGCGCTATGGAATTCAATGTTTGGTCGTCAGAATACTATAACAAATTATCATTCCACTCTACTGAGAAGAACGCTACTTGCGTAATGGAGAATCCACTGCAAGCGTACTCTTGTCAACGGGTACCCTGATCTTACAAGATCTACACGCACGTACATATCACCAGGCATATTGGAAAGAAAACACGATAATTCACGTTAACAATATGTGACGTATACTGATATTAGTAACTTTTATTTATTTTGTATTTATAAATTTTAAATAGACGTATTTCGTTTTCTTTTTATTATTTTAATTCCGCAATAAATAATAGTACCTTTTTATATTCCATTCCTAAATGTAAAAAACAATTGTGATTCAATTTTATAATATTTGTAATATAAGGTGATGTGATAGGTAAATAGTACAGTTCGATTGTTTATACTGCCTGGAGATTTGTAAATAGACTGTTTTAGATAGAATTATACAACGATTTGTACACAAAAAAGAAAAAGAATCAAATATAAAATCTTAATATTCATAAGTTTTAGACGAAAGTTATTTTTCTGATTGCGAACATTAATTTAGATTTTTCTTATCAATAAAATGAATATAAGAGAGAATAGTAGTTTAACAATTATATATTTATAATTGCTACTGTTCTAGAAGGCAAATATCAAGTTATGAAAAAATATGTACGCTATTATTTAAGTACGACTCATCGCTTCGTTTTAATTAAAAGAACGAAATAAACATGCTATTTTAAAAACTGGGGTGCTTTATGATTTTTTTAATTATTCAGTATATATGCCAAGGAGAAATGACTAAAAAGTGCCAATGCCCGTGTTAAAGTGCGACAGGAAAAAGGGGTCCAAGAGGGCTTGAACCGGAAAGGTAGGTTCATGAAATCCCACAGAATGATACTAAAGTACAAAATTTGATGCTTAGAGAAAAACTAGCACAATGTTTATGTAAAGTGCTTTGTATATTGTATTTTTCCTTACAAACTCTCATTGAAATCACTCTTAAGTGCGTTTCGAATGTAAAATATACTAAACATGACTAAACTCTGATTAATAAATGAACGAATCTTAGCATTTTTATTTCATGAGAATTGGCAAATTTGGGAAGTGGGTATTTTAGACCGGAAATAATCACTCCTTTCTTTCAATAATTTAATGTACGTGCTAATGAATGTAAAAATGAATTAAGAAAAATATATGATTAAATACTGCTGGGATAAAAGTCGGCCAAATTGTAATTAATAAATGTACAGAAACGAATTTTAATATTTTTATTTCACGACCTTTGATTAAATAACAAATCCCGGGGTTGGCTACTATAAGTCAATGGTCACTTCCCTTAAAATCACCCGACTAACTATGGATGATTAATGGAAATGGCCAAATTCTGATTAATAAATTAATACACACGAATCTTAGAATTTTTATTTCGCGATTCTTGACCAAACATGATGTAAAGAAGCGATCATGCATTACTTTGTTCGGTACAACTACCGAACCGGAAACCGAAAACATAACATTGAGTGACCGAAATGCTGATGAAAACAATTACCCCTGTTTCGGAGATGATTTATTGTAAAATATGAACAGTTTTGTTTAATAAATTAATGGGGGGAATGAATATTGGCATTTTTATTTCATGTTCCTTGACCAAATGACTAATCCCTGTTTTCGAAGTGCAATTCTTCAGCGAAATACTAAAGTCTAGATTACAATTTCTGTATCTCATAT